GTGAGGGTCTTAGGGCACAGGATGAGTGAAAGGCAGTGCCATCAGCGCTTAGTAATTGTGTTCAAAATCCCTCGTAGGTCCCTAGCTGCTGCATCTTTCTAATTCCCCACTTAAATCTGCATTTTATCAAGCACCAGTATTGCATATTTCTAAAATTCTTCCTCTCCCTCCATAATTTTTTTTTCTTTCAGTACTAGGGATGGAACCCAGGGCCCTTTATCAGATCTTTTTTACTTTATTTTGAGACAGGAGTAATCCTGCCCTGGAATATCACAGCATCATGGGACCACTGAGGTTTTAGCTGTGACCCAAGGTAAAAATGGAGATATGTCTCGACGTGCCATAGCCTGTAGATAGAAAAACTAGGCCTAATCATAATTTGTGAAATGATCCCCCCCCAAAAAAAAATTATGTAGAATTATTACCAATAGCCAGGAACCAAAAGTCCCATTGTGTTGGTTCTAAAGGAGTCAGGACTATTGGGGTCTTTTGAAGAACCATTGATACATGGGGAATAGATGTAACCCCCAAACTTACTAGATGTCAGATACGCTGAGTTTGTCAGATTCCCCAAAGTCAAAGAATGATTTCTCTGGAATAGCAAAAGTTAAGAGTAGGAACATTTACTGGGGAACAGTAATGTGGAATAAGAACAGCTTCTGAGGGATAGGAGGGGTCCTGAATGGGTTGCCAATGAACCTACTTCTCAAAGTAAGTTTTATAGAGCAGAGTCACAAGGGGTGGGTACAATGTGGGTAAAAACTAATCAACCAACAAGATTATAAGTATGGTCACTTGGGTAATATTGACCCAGTAGTAACAAGGTTATATGGATGATATCATTAACCTCGGTCGATAACCTGTAGTGTTAGTCTTAAGTCTGTTTAGTCTTAGTAGTCTTAGTGGTCTTAGTCTTAGTTGGAAGAAGAGAATGGCCCACCCCAAAAGAGTGGCACCAGTATCCAGTAGGGAAGCAGGCAAACGTTGCCATTGTGATTTTAATCTTCAGACACGCCTCCAGCCACAGCTCTGAGCTGTTCTCATCCTCTGCACTGACTTCTGAGGGCCCTGCCCTGTCTGGCTGCCTACAGTATTTGTATCAACATCACTTTTCAGTAGTCACAAAAAGATGGCAAGGACACATGAGAGATTAGCCTACAGCTAATGGATCATCACACAGTGTAAAGGATTGTAATGTGTAGTATTGATATAGGGCATATGATATAAGACCTTCAAACGATGTAAGGAAAATATTAACTCCCAACCTGCTAAATATCTGAAATGCCAATTTCATGTTTTCTAAAATCAAAGAGTGAATTCTAAGAACAACAGAGATTAAGGTAGGGAATATTGGGCTGGGCATGGTGGTTCATGCCTGCAATCCTAACACTAGGGAGGCTGAGGTAGGAGGATTGCCGTGAGTTTGAGGCCAGCCAGAATTACAAAGGAAGACCCTGCCTCAAAAAACCAAAAAGACAAAACAAAATGAAAGGAAACATTTATTGAGGGAAAGACAGCTTCTAGCTGAGAGGGACAAGAGCAAACATAGCATTTAGTTTAACAATTATGATGCCATATTAGAATCACTTTTTTTAATCTCTAAAAATACATCAAAATTCTCATGTTAGTATAAAATAACTTTAGTTACCTTTACCCAATTACAAAATATGAAATGACATAAAGAAGCCCTTATGTAAATTTGTTTTCTTTTAATTAGCTGTCATTTAAGTAGAAGGTATTTTTTGATGTACTTGATAGCTTACTACTGTCCAATATTTAATCATTATGACACTTCTTTAACTATAATATTTAGGCATATCTAACAATACAATTACATTGTATATGAAACATTTATATAATTATTAATCATAATTCAATTATATAACAGTCACATGAACATAAACCTGAAAAAGTCCATCATTATAAGCAACTGTAGTGTCACCAGTGTGGTAAGAGACTTTTCTCAAGTTCTGCTACTTAGGCCTGTATACTTGGGAAGCCCAAATGTATTTAATATATAACATGGTTAGCATAATTAGCTTCACAAGTATATAGAAGTCTTTACATATATTTATTTAGTTTTTTGTTTGTTTGTTTTTGTGTGGTACTAGGGATCGAACTCAGGACCTTGCGCTTGCAAGGCAGGTGGTAGTACCATTGAGCTAAATTCCCGTCCCTACTTAGTTTTAATCTTAAGGCATAATATAGATTCCTGTTAACAGGTTTTAGGGTATGACTGTATGGACAAGAATTAAAGGACATGGATAGAAATATGTTATGAGCTTTTAAGACATCTTTATTCTTGTTAACACACGTATTTATTTATTTATTTATTTATTTATTTGGTACCCGAGATTGAACTCAGGACCTTGTGCTTGTGAGGAAATTCCCCGCTCTAACTCACTTATTTTATCTTACATATCTTGTTAACTCATTGATAAGCCATGTGAACAAAAGTATATTTGGGTTATATCATGAGTGTCTACTTAATCTGTATACAATACCGACTAAAATAAAACACACCTGAAAATAGACACACAGAAACATACACAGTAACCCAATCATCCCTAACCGTGTATGTTATCAAACTGTAAGGCCTTTATTTGTAAGCAATTCTGAGAATCTTTTTTGTTATTTAACTAATCAGTAAGAGTCAGAAGGGTGAGAGAAGACCTTTGAACTTTTGTGTTTTTACTCTCCAGTTTACCTTTAGAGAAAAATCAACTTTAAAAATCTTTTATCTTAAATTGGTCTCAAGTTCATAAAATAGATTCTAAAGATGATGCTTTTGGGCACAGACGTTGTAACAGTAATCATATAAAATTTACTACATGCCTTTAAGGTCTCTGTTGTGTACTACTAGAATGAAAAAGAAAAAAGAAAAAGAGAGAAAAGTGTTCCTGTTTGTAGATGACATTTCATAGACATTCCCAAGAGATACACCTCAAAAACAACCTAGTTTTGGGAGTGAGTTCAACGGGGTTAGAGATCCAAGCTAAACATTTAAAAATCAACTGTTTTTTACTTTCACATAAAAAAATTACAGAATGGGAGAGGGTTTTCACATCATATCTGTAAGGGACTTATATCTAGATTCTGAATATAAAGATCTTCCACAACTCACCAATAAAAAGGTAAATAACAACTGAAAAATGGATAAGGAATCTGAGAAACATTTCTCCAGAGAAAACAGAAATGCAAATAAGCACAGGGAAGCATTGTTGATACAGTTTATCACCAGGAGATACAAATCTAAATCACATGAAGGGACCTAAAAAGAGGCATGAGAGGGTGACTTTGGTAAGTCCAGCCAAAAGGCTTTTTATTTATTTAGTTATTTTCTTTCTTTGTCCCCATTTTCCCCCAATCTGTTGGCCCTGTGAAGCATAGTTTTCTTCCAACCCTGTTGTTTCTAAAGCATAGTTTTCTTTCTCCTTCTCTCCCTCTGAAGTAACACAAAGTGCATATAATGTCTGATAACTCTGGTTTCAGTTTGGTTTTGTGTGGCAGATCCAGGAGGTAGAGTTAGGCCATGTCTGTGTAGCATTTTGTTAATACCTAGACAGTCTGTGCTCCTGCACCTTAAAATGAAGTTATTAGAAGTATTGCTAAAAATCATATAATGAGGGCTGGGGATTTAGCTCAGCTGTTCGGTGGCCTGCCTTGCAAGCTCAAGGACCTGAGTTTAATCCCTGGTACCAAAAAAAAAAAAAATCATATAATGATGTTAAAAGTCCACAGTCTTGTGGGGCCACATTACTAGCTCTTTAGGTCTACATGCAACCCAAGGGTGGTGGATTGGATTTACCTGATACAAACTGTAAATTTATACATAGGTAGATACCATATTCATTACTAGGTAACATTGATTTTGATGTCAGCATATAAGTACAAGTATAAACAAAAGCAACCATTGGCTTGCTAAAATATATTTAAAGTTTTGTCCAAAATCTAATGGTCTTTGTAATTTAGCATTAGAATCAGTATCCAGGAAATAGGTAGAGTGTGGTCATGCTTGTTTTTCTTCCTTCAGGAAAGTCTTTAGGTTCCTGTACCACATTTGAAATTTGAACACATAAACCAAAATTCTTGAGATGGAGGGATCTCTGAAATAAAAGGGTTGGTTGAGCCAGATAGTAGCCAGAAAAAGGACCAGGTCCTGGGATACATTTCAGTAACTACAACTGCAGGGCTAGGTAGTAGTTGGACATATTCTTGCCTAACCAGAGCTAAGAGCTTCTTTTAATAAGGAAAATTTGGGGAAGAAAGGCAAAAGTTTTTTACATAAAACCTTATTTTGTTCTAGATAAGAGGGGTGTGATTCTGAAAAGCTGGGAAAGCTTTGGAATAGGTGGGCAGTGTATAAGAAGTAATTGTTGATTATGGATTGAGAATAAAAGTCCAGAGGATTGGAACATCATCTGTTATGGGATTTAAGTCAAAATTCCAATATATGACATGAAAATGTGCAAGTTTTGTTGATTTCACCTGTTAACTGATTAACTTCCCTTATCTCTTTCCCTCTCTACCCTTCAGTCCTTGTAATTAAATTTAGGATGCCTAAGAATTCTTTTATCACTTGTACGTGTATTAAAATTGTCGGGAGGGGAGCTTCCCTTTACTCATTTCTTCTCTTGTTAGGATGTAGGCTCAGATTTTGTCCTTGTTATTTAAATTATATCTAAGAGTGTGGCTGTCAGGCCATGGGCCTGGCCAAAATATTTCAACCTCCCTCTCTCCCGGCAGCCTGTAAGGCAGCCACAAATTGGGCTGTGGTCTCAACTCGGCTTCCTCCCATCTCACCTTCTCATTTTAAGCACTGGACTGGCATAGTCCTCCCGGCCTCTTGGGTTGCTCTGCCTTAATCCATCAGTAGTGCTTGAGTGTTTCAGTTCCACACGCCCATTTTAACCTGTTGACACCATGAACCATCTGACCAGACTAGTATACTGTCCTCAACTCTGCTTTCTCTTTTTTTCTCCTTTTTGTCGTATTTATAGGCTCTGAAAGACTTGAGTTGGGACTTTCTTCTGGGAAGCTGGCAACAAAAGGATGAGATGATATGTGTGTTCCATGGAAAAATAAACATGCTTTTGAATCCATGAGCAAGTAGCAAAGCAGTTTCTGGCTACAGAACATACCTTATAAAATCAGTACTGTAAAAGCTTGGGTAAGTCCATAGTGGTTTCCACGCTTGATATTTTTATCTTGCTTCATGTATCTGGACACAATCCTTTTTGAAATTATAGTTCTGTTTATGTTGTGTTGAAGTGTTCTGTTTCTTCCATAACCTTTTCATTGAAAAGCATGTACTGTTTCTGTCAGATGTATTGCAAGCTTCCTGTTGATAGAAAATAAAACGATATATTTCTATCACAGGACAAAACATGATTCTTCTTGAATCTTTACATTAGGAATCATGTACCATTTTGTTTAGAGTTCAAAATATTAAATGCAAAGTGTCTTAGAGTTTAGAATGTAGGTTTCTGCTGCATAGAGTAACTTGCTTATTATTTGAATATTGTATTCCTCTGGTTAATTTCTCCATTAGAGAACATTCCTTCCTTAGTTATAAATTCTTATACTAATTGCACTGTCTGTTACCTTTCTAGTTCTGGTTTCTGTCTCGACCTTTGTCCTTTTAGTTGCTCCTAAAGGAATTCCTCTGATAAAGTTTTAACTCTCATAGTTGAGGTTGGCCAGCGAATCTAACTGCGGAAGCAAAAGATGCTTTTAGTAAGAATTTTTACTAATTTCTTTAGTAAAGCACAGTGAGGGTCTTATTCTATTCTTTCCCTGCCTACAGACTCCTGTCCCTACATATCCTTTATAGTAAAACTGTTTAAGTACAGCATTTCCTCGGTTCATAAAAACTTCTGTTTGCAAACAATTCCATTTGCAAACAAGAATGTTTGGCAAAATTTTGCTTCTGTTTGCAAACTGTCCATCAGGTGACAAACATGACCACAGCCCTCCTTCGCACAAAAACACAAACATAGCCATTGCCCCCAAAATTGTAAAACAGATTTGTAAGCTGAGATAAGCTGAGGTACCATAGTGTTTTTGCTGATTTCTGTAGGTTGTTGTAGTGAATTCTCGAAGCTGAATGAGGATTTTTGGGAGCTCCAGAATTTGTAGCTGTCAGACATTAGTGTGGATATCCTGGAAAAATCTAAAATAGAATTGGTCTCAGCCAAAAAGGCTGAGAAATAATGGAAAAAAATCTAAAAGGGCAGTTTTGCTGGAGATCTTTAACATGTGGGATCTGATGCTAGTTGTGGTAGTGTCAGAAGTGAATTGAAATGTAGGACACGTAGTTGATGAGAGAGAATTGGTGCCAGAGCACAGTGTGCCTGTCGGGTGTCAGATGTTGTCATATATGTCTCAGTCACCCGCGCATATCAGTGAGCCATATGCATTATTTTGTGTAATAACCAGTGAGGTGAGGCCTGGTTTTATTACATTTTTTGTGCAGGCAGGAGTTGCTGAGCTAGGAAGTAGTAATGGAGAACTCTGCTTCTAAAACCCTTTATGAGTGAGTCAACTGCTGACCTTGCTCTAGGTGTTCCTCCTTTCTTTTAATCTGGCAGCTGTGGACGGAGGACAGCTTTTTCTGAAATAAACCTTTATCACATGACTTTTGAATGGAACAACTTTGAGTTATTCTCTCTTACTGGACAATAAAACCTCATACTCTGTAGGCAGCCATTGAAGACCCACCAGGGTCCAGCGGGCCCCAAGCAGGACCCTAGTAGTACTACCTCTGTATTTCTATAGAACAAAATAAAATGCTTGCTTTTTTGTGGTACTGGGGCTCCAGCCCAGGGCCTTTCCAGTGAGCTGTATCTCTAGCCCTTTATATTTTGAGAGAAGATTCCATTAAGTTGCCCAGGCTGAGCTCGAATTTGTCTGCCCTCCTGCCTCAGTCAGTCCGAGTGCTAGGATTACAGGTGTGCCACTGGGCGAAGATTTGTTATGTTTTTTTGGACAGGCTACTGTGTTTCTCCACAGAATTGTATTGGAGGTGGAATGTGTGTGTTCTAGTTTTTATACAGTATAATTAGAAGCTCAATATAGAAGAATGTCAGCATAAAAGTAGCAAACACTGGTCAAGTGCATAGTTCATGTAATGAGAAGTTTCAAGAGTTCAAAACAGGAGCAACTTCGAGGAGCAGATGTTTTGGAGTGTAGCCTTGAAGAGATGGTAGGGTTTTGAGAACTGTGGCCTAGGAGAGGACTCATCTGGGCCAGAATATTATTGGGTAACTTTTGTCTAAAAGTGACTCGCCACCTAAAAGTTACTGGGTTCTGGATGGCTCTCCTCTCCTGCAGTTGGATTCTGGGTTCTTCTTGCCTCAGAGAATTGAACAAAATGAACAAAAGCTGTGGCAAGGTTTATTCAAGAAAGCAAAAATGAAGAGTGGGAGAGAAACTGGCTTTGCAGAGCGAGTTTAGGCCCAGTAAATAGAAAAAGAGGTTTTTTAATGACATTTAGATAAAAAGTATCTGTTATAGGGTAGATCTTAGAATTTTAAACATTTGTTTATTTATTTTGCAGGGAGGAGGAAATTTCCTTATTTACTCATTTCAGAGATTTTGGTTGTCCTAAGTATTTTTATTTATTTATTTTTTGCGGTGCCAGTGTTCAAACTCAGGGCCTGTTGTTAGGCAGACACTTTACAACTAAGCTGTGCTCTCAGTTCCTCCTAATATTTTTAGAAAAACCCTCAAGAGTTCTATTACAGTAATTTTCCTCATTAAGTCTTGCCCAGAACCACTTACCCTCAACCTTGTAATAGAATTTTTTGTACTGTGCTTAACCAATGCATAAAAGATTAGCTGTGGGTCACTGTTATTTGAAACTATTTTTTTCATTAAACAAATCACAATTATGCCTTCCTCTCCGTTCTCTCTGGATTTAAAAAATAATGAAATTCTCACCAAACAGGTCCAAGGAGATCCCCAAAAGAAGAGCTGGACCTTCAGCTCACCCTGTGGTGTAAGCTGATAGAGCTGTCACAGAAAAGGATTTCTGGAGTCATCAGTGAAAAGGGCAGGCGGATTTATTAGGCCGAGTTAGAAAGTAAGGGTGAATAGGGAAGAGCAGTTGGGGAAGAAGGCTCACTTTGATAGAGACTTTCAGACAGACCAGCTTAAAAAAGAACAAGGCCACCTCTTACGGATTAGTGGAGGTGGGCCAGGATCAGGTCCATCATTATCATTTCTGGTTTGGTACCTCTGGAAGAATCCTTACGGTTTGAGGGGCATTTCGGTTCCTATGAGGTGACTGTTCCTGCCTGGGAGGAGTGATGTCATCGTGGGGTGGTCTGCAAGACTGCTTTTCCTGGAATTTGAAGTGATTATCATTTTGGCAACTCCTAGGCTTTGCTCCAAGGGGTTTGAAAGTAGACATAGTAAGCCTGGTTATTGGATGTCCCTGCAAATCCTGAAAATTTGTAGATACTCTTTTTTGGTATCCTTAGTGTCAAAGGGGGCTGAGATAGGCTAGGCAAATTTAGGACTAATAAACCTTGTAATACAGACACTACTTAAGTGATGAAGATGTCTACCTCAGAGGTAAGCAGGGGTCTAACCAAAGTCTGAAGGTAATAAAGGAGATAAAAAAGCCAGGCATAGTGCCACATGCCTGCAATTCCAGATGCTTCTGAGGCTGAGGCAGGAGGTTGGAAAGTTCCAGGGCTACCTGAGCAATTTAGGGAGACAGTCTCAAAATATGGTAAAAAGGTCTCAGCAGGAGGGCCCTGGATTCAATCCCCAGTGTTGAATAAAGGGGGAAAAAAAGGGACAGACAGATAACACAAAACGGAGGGCAGAGATGTAAAGTTTAGAACTGTAGTTTCCTTGTCCTCTTTGTACCTCTCTTTATTCTTCTACCCTACCTTAAAATGACTTACTGCTTCAGGTTATATGTAATTCTGTTCATAGCCTCACCAGTCCATGATAAACAGGTTTTCATCTTGAAAAATAATTCTCCTGGCTTGACTGTTTCTGATAGTTGATTCATTATGTACAGGAGAGATGGTTACATATGTCAGTATATGTTCAGTGTGTGTAGTGTGAGAGGCAGGTGTTCATACACACACAGATTTATATATGAGAATTCTAAACAAGGAGAGCAGGTGATGTGCCTTTGGCAAGTAAGAGGAATTGAAATGTATGATTTTCTTTATGTTAGTCTTGGGGTAAAGAAAGCAGGCAGAGGAACACTTGGTGGGCTTAGATGGCACCCTATTTTGATTTGAGTCACCTTCGTCTAGAAATCTTTGTTGACTCTGTTATCAACACATTTCTTATACCCTTCTTTTCTGTGTAATTATACTCTTGATACTTTATCAAAGTAAACAGAAGACTCTTGGTGATTTCTGCAGTGAAGTAAAAAGTTTACCTATTTTTGTAGATGGGTAGATGAATGTTGGTCATGCAAAAGAATGGGAAATTGTAGAACTTTCCATAGGGCAGTCTACCAAACTCTTTTGCTTTTTGGCTCCTGAAGTGTGTTGTGCTATTAGAGTGACCATTTTTCCCCAGTTGGTTTAACCATTTAAAGGGAATCTTAAATGTGCAGTGAGCTTGTCAGGTGAGGTGTCACCCACCTGGAATCCTGGCATTTGGGAGGCTGAGGCTGGAGGATTGCTGAGAGTTTGAGGCCAGCATGGGATAGCTACGTATGAGTTCGGGAGTAGCCTGAACCACACAGCGAGACCCTGTCTCCTAACAGACAAACATGCAGTGAAGATGAGTAGTCAATGGCTTGTTATGGTTGCTGCAATTCATCACTTTCACCATTATCCAAAATCTGATTGTCAGCTTTGCTGGTTGTAAAATCTGTTTATTTGTTTTTTTTTACTTCTTCCAGTGTGCAGAGCTTAATTCATACCCACCAAATTCACAAAGAATTGATTTATTTTTTTAAAAGCCAAAGGTTTCTTACATTGAAAGGTGGACCTTTGTGGTACAGTTTACATTCACTGTTTGGAGTGTCTTTTTGTGTTGATTCCTGAACCTCCGTAAGAGAATTGTGTAGTGTGTTAAAGATAATATGCTAATTTAGGCAGGTAAGAAAACAAACCTGTTATTTAATGCTATCAGTGAGGGGATCTGGCAAGTAGTAGGACTGGTTCAAGGAAAAGTAAGAAAACAGCGAAGGTA